TATATTTAATTAATATATAGTATATGAATATAATAAATAATAAATACATAGCAAAAAATTATTTTTTATTATTCTAAAGATATTTAAATAAATGCAGTGTCAATTTAATTTTAAATAAATAAATAAATAAATAAAGATCATTTTTATATTTCAATTTTTTTTCCTGATATTACAATCTATAAAAAAAGGGCATATTTTTTCTTTTGTATTTAAATTGTATAAGATTTGTACAAAAGTTATATTTTTAAAGTTTTCTTTACTTTATTTTAGTAAATCATGTTTAAGAATATTTAATATTACTGTATTATTTAAATGTAATCAGATTAGTATTATTGTGTTAACGTTTTTTAATTATTTAAATGAATGATTGAAATTGAATAATAATTTCTTTTTTCTTTATTTTTTTTTAAATTGATTTGGTTATTGCATTTATAAGATACAAAACAATGATCATTCTAATAAACAGGGTGTCCTAGTTTTTAATAATTGAATTTTGTTAGTATATTTTATGGATGTAAATAACAAAAAATATTACATAAAAAAATGTTTGAAGCTTCATTAGAAAATTATGATAAAAATATCTAATATAATTAAAATAATATTATGTTTATATTTGCGAGAATTATGATTATGGAATAATCACTTCTCAAAGGTCGAAATGGGATAATATGTTGACATCCAAGGTCATCTAATCTCACGCCTTACAATTTTTATTTTTGGAGAATTTGTCAAAAAAAAAAAGTTTATCAAACAAGTTTATCATAAATTTTTGTTATCAATTCATTTAATTCTATAAAATGAAACCAGATAGAAATGAAATTCGTAAAGAAATAAATTTTATTTTGACAACATTTACATAATATTTTGTAATAAATAAAAAAAATAAAAAAAATTCACAGAATAATAAATGCAATTTTTCAATAATTGTTAAACTCATACTGTCAATAACGGTAGCCATTTTGAAATAAAATAAATATATTACTTAATTCTGGAATTGTTAAAAATATAATTGTTAATTTGAAATGACTTTGAAATTTTTTTTTTTCAACAAACACGATAGTTGTTATGACGTAAACTCGATGTAACCCTGAGGACCTCAAATAGTAAACAAATTTCATATAAGGAATTTAAATTTAAATATTGCTGATTTAGTTTTATATTTTTATCATAGTAGCCATGAAATTGTTATTGCTCCTTCTATGCTCCATATTGTATTCATAACTTTTTAATAAAACTTTTATTCATTTATACTAACCTTACCATATACGGTTCAATAAAATTTTATTGAAGTACTCGTTCTACTTGTGAATATGGATGAATTTATTGCATCATGTATGAAAGGAATTATTTCCAACAATTCCTACATAAATTTATTTGTTTAGTATTTTTCTAACGATTTTTATTACATTTAAATTCCATACAAGTCCGATTGAATTAATTTCATGCCCAAATAGGTTATGTTTATACAGAACTTAATGACGTTAATCCACCATTTTGAAACTGGTTCTAAGTTTTTTTTTTTCAATGTACATTAATTTTATTCACAATATTAATCAAAATTACATGTTTTCTATTTATTACAACATCAACAAAATAAAAATATTTAAAATATACATCTCTTATTTTTTTTTTTTAAATATAATTATAAACATATTGCGAATAAAATTCCTGTTAGTTGAAAAACATTTAATAGAAGTTACCAAACGATAAATTAATATTACTCGTATCTGTGTGAACAATTTTTGTTTTTGTTTTATTTAAATCAGTAAAAATAGTATACTAATAAAATTCTCAAAAATCATCAGGAACTTGGTATTATCCTATTTATGTACGTATTACAAACGTGCGTATGTGTTTCTTTTTTTTTTCCTAATACTTATTTTTACGCAAATGTCGATAAGCTATCTCGAAATGTCAACGTGAATTCCCTCAAATCAACTCTCAACGATAATACTCGTCATCCTAGTTGATTTTCCTTGCGGCTGCGTTAGTCATGAGTCAGCGTTGAGACGTTTTTTGTCTGCTAATGATAGACTCTAGTTGCTTCATGAAACTGTAGAAATAAATCACCACAAATGATGCATGATTTTCAATTTTCTCTCTCAATTCTTTTGATATAGATTCTGTAGTTCTTAATTCAAGTTTTATCAAAAACTTTTTAAATTCATCTTTTTGCAAATTGAATTTTTGTTTTCTATTTTTTTTTTCCTATTAAAATTATTAAGTCTTTGCAATAAAATTTAAGAAAAATGTAAATATATTGTTAAAGAAATTTATTATTTTATTTTTAAGTAATATTATGGTGTATATTAAATATTTCATTCATAAACATGTTTTTGCATTTCAAGTTTAATACTTGACAAATCGAAATACAACTTTTTTCTAATCAAATTCGAATTTTTGCGCTAATTAAATTTCTGTATAAAATTATTTTCTATTAATCTTTTACGATGTATATTAAAAAGTTTATTTTTAGGAAAATATAATGATTTTTTAATTAAACTAAACCTTTTAGAAATTAAATTTTTTTATAACTTTTATCGTAAGAAAAAATTAACGTATTAAAAAAAAAAATTAATAAATGAAAATGAAATGATTTTCAAGCACAACGAAACATTAAATATTACATAAAAATTTTACTAACGTCATAAAAGAATTGTAAATTATTTTATTCATAAATTACCAAATTTTTTATAACACTCATGCTATAAGTATTGATTTATTTACTAATTTACTAATTTTGACTTTATTATCAAATTTAATGATTTTTGATGTAATTGTAAAATTGAGATTTGAAGCATCTACAATTGCCATTTATCGCAATAATAATAATAATTAATCAAACGTTGTGATCTCAAAGTGTACATAAATATACAAAAAATTTATAACAAAGGAAAAAAAAGAAAGTCTTGTTCAACAACTGGACTATACAATTTGAACTAAACAAATGTACATAAATCGTTAATTGTTGAATGAACAATTTCATTAGACTGTGATTGCTACATTTTTGTATATTTTTCAAAGATTATTTTTCCTTTACCTTTAAAAAAAAAAAAATTTGGTATAAAAATCAAAAGTATTAAAAGATTAAATTTAATTTGCTAAAAAGTTTATATTAATTTGCAGAAAAACAATTTCAATTAGTCCAAAGTTTAATTGAACTTACAAAGAAAAATACATTTTAAAAATAGTTAAATTTAATATGTAAGAAAAGTAAATGTTATTTGCAAAAGATTCATGAGACTTGTATTTACAAGTTTACACAAAAAAAAGTTAATCCAGATAATAATTGAACTAAATAAAAGTAAAATATATTATTTCGTGTCCTTAATTAATATTAAAAAGAAATTGATATAAGTCATAATGATTGACTTTGTCAGCGAATTAGGGATGATACAATAGTATCGATCTAATGGCATTGGGCCAACTTGCGAACGTCAACGAATTTTTTTAACTGTTTACTTGCTAGTGTGATCGATCTCTAACTAGATACCAAAGTAAAGATGGATTCACCTGACGTCACCAAGTATTCACCGAGTTAGCTGGCTAATAGGTTTAGTTGTTAGGATGATAGCGTTAGAGAGAATACTTAGAAATATTTGGTAAAGAGGCATAGTAACTTGACAACCTTTGACAGAAGTGCAATGAAAATGGCGAAGCGTTTTGTTAGAAAGGTCCGTTTATTTTTATTTTCATTATTTAATTGTTAATTAGCCTTTTAACTATATATTTTAAACTTATAACAGTTTAAAAATAAAAAATGTTTATCTAAACGTATATCAAGGTAAACAATAATAACAAGTTCCAATGATTTTTGTATCTTAACTAAACATTTTATACAAAGTTAACTTTTAAAACAATGAAATATGTTGTAAAAATAAGATTTGATTGAGAACCACCATAATGATCTTGTTTTCTACATAATAATTTATCTAGAAGCCACTTTAATGGTGTTTATTATTTAAAAGGTTAATTAAATGCTTGAGATTTCTTATACAGTACATAAACTTTTTTTTATTATGTATAATAGATTATAAGTTGCAAACATTTATTCTTAGGATATGCATTTATTCGATATCATTTTTTCTATGCGCATTTAGAAAAAGTATTAGAAAGAACATGATATACTATTCTTCATGTAGCAAATTATTTCCATTTGCTTAAAACAATTAGAGCATATCGATCATCATCATCATCATCATCATCATCATCATCATCATCATCATCATCATCCTTATTATTATTATTATTATTATTATTATTATTATTATTATTATTATTATTATTATTATTATTATCATAATCACATTATCATCATGCGTTGAATCTCTTTTCATGGAAGAATTCATCTTTGCGAATAATTTTATGTACAAGTTTTTTATATTTTTGTTTATTATACATATATTTATATAAAATAATAAATACGAATATATGTATATATATTATAACAGTGAAATTTCGTTAAATGCAAATCTCGTTTTTCGCTAACCGATTTCCCGCCAATTTCAGAATTACCAGTACTACCACCACCACCCCTATCATTGAATATGTCTGATTATTAATCATAATTCTTTCAAATTTTTTTCTATAATCTTGAAAAATATCTCTCATTTTTCTTTTTGATCCTAAAATATTACAAACGCGTGTATATACTATTTACCACTAGATATACTACCACCATTTTTAGTATACCTCTTTCTACTACACTAGTCAAAATGACTGGTGTATACAAAAAAATGCTTTTTGAGGCTTCCAGTTTTTATTTACTCTTAAAAAATAACAAACAATGTTTAACAATAATAATTTTAATAGATATATGGATTTATAGACATTTTTAAATAACAAAACGCTTAATTATTTACAGAAATCACATATTACATAAAGTAGAAATTTTGTATTAAAATGGCCCAACCAGTCAAAATGACTGGTCTGGTATATCTAGTGTTAATAGGATGTTTTTATTTGTATGGTAGAAACCAAAAATCAATCAAGTGCTATCATTGTAAAAGAATTTTGAAAATAGTAATAGAGGTGGGAGAAGGGCCTTCCTGATTGGCGAAAAACGAGCTGTTTATGATTTAATGAGACTTTTCACTATAATATGAAGCTTCAAATTTTTTATACTAAAAAACCTATTTAAGGATTATTATTTAAATGATCAAACATTAAATAATCTCACAATAATATTTGCATCTACGTAAGATATAATTAAAATACAATCATTATTTTTGTAAGTAATACTTGTTTATTCTTTCTTTGAATTTTCTAATTCTTTTGACACAATTGGACATATATTGCAAAACAAATTTTTTTATCAATTAGGTAAAATTTTGACTCTTTTGCAATAAAATATATATAAATTGAAAAGTTTAGTAATTCTAAAATATGCTTCTCTGTATAAGAATTATAAAATATTGCATTAATAGAAAATATTTATCGTTTTAAATTGACAAAAGAGGTCCGAATTATTCCTGGTACTTACTATAAATATTTATTTATATATGTACAAATATATTATATATATTTTTAATATTATTTATAATAAATATGTAGAGTAGAATTTTGTGATGTAATAAAAATAATAATTATAATTTATATATTATTCCCGATAACAATGGTCAATTAAAATCCTACTGTATATGTAAACAAAAAAATTACTTTTTAATACCAATTTAGAATTTTAAGGTTATTTTTATTTTTATGTTTATTTATTTATTAAATTTTGTGTTATCATTGTAGGTAAAACAGGGAGCGGAGAACATGATACAGAGTTTGACGAGTGGTCACAGAGACAAGAAATTACTTCAAGAAGCTCAACAGATGCTCGATGATTCCCGCGCTAAAATCGAGTTCCTACGCATGCGCATAATGAAGGTGCGACAAGCGCGCCAACAACAACATGCTCGAGGTGACGGGCCACCTCCTAATGGCGAATCAACTGGCAACAAAGGTATTAAATAATAATACAAGCTTTTCACAAATGATCTATAATATTAAAAAAAAAATTTTTATATTTAAAAGATTTTTTTTAAATATTTAAATTAACCCATTAACCGCCAAATTATTTTTGGTTACAGAAATATTTATATTTTTTAAAAAGTCTTAAATAGGGATTGTGGCTGGTTGCACGAAAAAAAACCAATAAGAGACTATTACTTATTTCTTTTATTATTTCCTATACATACAAAGTAGCTATTATTATGCCATTTTTCCATACAGTTCACATAAAACCGAGTGGTGTACGTAAAATTCCAAAATTCCCAAATGGAGATCGTGGCAGCTAATGGGTTAATAATATTATCTCTTCAATTTACTTAATTTTTTTTTGTATTTTATTCTTAATTCATAAAATTATATTTTTATTTGATTAATTTGCTTTCTTTTCTTGTTTTCTTTTTTTTGTTAAGAAAATCAAATTATTACTATTATCATTATTGTATTAGAAAAATAAGTTTTATTTACAAAAATAATCAAAAATTGTTACGAGACGCTCTTCAAGTGTTTTACTTATTATTGGCCGTTCTATGATTTTTTTTTTCTCTTTACAATTTGGGTCTTTCCTTAAATTTTTTACTGTGATATATATATTGCTTTATAAAAAAAAAAAGTTTAGGTAATTGATTTAAAACTTTTAACAATTGATTTCGATTCCATGTATCACAATATATGCGCACTATTCCAAAATTGACGTCATTTTGAAAAAAAAATTGCAATAGACAGATTCCATAATTATTATTTATTTTAATATAAATTTGTACATGTTTTCAATTTGCATAAAAAATTATTTAGAGAAAAGAAAGTAATTTAATTATTATAATATATATTAATTGTTAATTAACAATATACGCATATTTAAATACTTGTATTAACAGTATCTTTTAAATTTACCTGGAGTTTCTTAAATTTGACATTTTTTTTTTTTTAAATAACGTCCTCGATTAAAGTAATTGTTTCGTGGTGACGTTTAATAATCTGTTTAATAAACAATAGTAATTTGTATGTCTAGACCGAAAATATATAATATAATATTTTACTATACGAGACCTAAACATTTTTGGCCGAGGCGCCAGCCGAGGCTTAAAAAGAACAGCAAGTACAGGCATAATTATTTACAGAGCAATCATGTTCAAATTTGCCGTATTAAATCATTCTCAATATTAAATCATTTCAATCTAAATCATAATTATTACTAATTATTATAATTTTCCGATACACATTAGCAATAAATAATAATGTCCTATAAACGATCAATTTGATTATAACATTAATCATGAAATATTATATTTCAATTAACAAAAAGTAAAGAGAATAATAGATAAAAGTAGATTAAAAGTATAGATGACTGAAATTTGATTTACGATAGAACTAAGGGAAATAACCAATAAATCTATGTTGAACATATCCATGTATTTATATGCACATATTTTTCATACATATACTCATATTTTATAAGCGAGGTTAGGTATACTTTACACATATCATATACTTTATACATATTTTACGTACATAAATCCCATATATATATATGCTTTTTTACATATTTTAAGTATACAAGTTCTATATATGCTTTTTGCATATTTCACGCAAATAAAATCATTCCATATACGCATTTATTGTGTTGCATATTTGATGAGTATAAATTCACGTATGCTTTTATAACTTTACTTTACGTGCAATAAAATTCGTAACAGTCTAGTTATAATAATTAATGAAGTTTAATAATGTAATCTTCTTTTTCGGATTGTTTCATATTATTACATAGGTGGGAGTGGGGGTGGCCCTGTTGTCGCATTAGTTTCGGTCTATATCAGTTAGATTTCGTTCATTTTCTGGCGCAATATTTTTGATTCGTTGCAATGCCTCTGGCAAATGTCCGCCGACAACAATATTTTACTGATTCCTATCTATACAAGTTCGGTTACCTCCATCAAGGCAACCTTTCATTTGCATTGCAAGTGTCGTTTCTGTTGGGTACTGGCAACTGTCTTTTAACACTAGGAATTACCAACAATTTAAACACAAGCCAAATCGATTTAATTTTGCTTTTTGAATTTCTTTTTTTTCAATTGTTAGTGTCAAATAATTGTACTGTTAACTTTTTATGCTATCAACTTTATGATTGATACACATTGATGATTGAATTACACATTGACTGATAAACTCAAGGATTATTTTGCAATGACTTTTGCAGATAGGTACGAGCCCAGTTTAGAGCTTGCTTTGGAAGAACGTGTCGAAGAGTTGCGACATCGGCTTAGAATTGAAGCAGCTGTTGTGGAAGGTGCAAAAAATGTAATACGTCTTCTGCAAAGTGCCAAAGTTGCTGATAAGAAGGCTCTGACGGAAGTACGTATTCTTCTTTTATCTCACTTTTCAATCTTTCATATGGATTACACGTAACACATAATACGATGTACATAAGTACCATAAATACATATGCACGTAGATATATGAACAAGAAGGAAATTAGAAGCTCGTATATTATACTTCACGTGGGTTTCGATGAAAAGCCCTTTTGTTATACGTACATACAAAAGATTGAGCATCAAACAGGTACTATTGATTTCATCCGTTCGACGTGAACATGATCGCTAAACTCATCGTTCGCATTTCGTATTATGATGTATGATAGATTGTTTCAAAGCTGTCAAGTATATTCTTCTTGCAACATGCAGCAAGTTAATGTAAGAATTACTGTATGCAATGTTGACACGAGTTGTTACGAAGGAATTGAGTTTATAGGGTTTTTAGTAACTCTATTGGTTAAACCACTGTATTTAAAATTTAGATTTATGATCATATGTAAATTTAGTTCTATATGTGGCCCATTTTTTTGGGTACATCAATAATTTTGAAATTGGGATACACCTGCTGTTAGTAAATCGAATCTGTTAATAGGTTTGAGATATATTGATAGTTGGATAACTTTGGACTTAGTAGTTAGTCAAGTTATTTAGGTATGTTCAAATTGTATTTAATCGATATAACAAGTTAGATTGAGTTATATAAATAAATTAGTTTCTGAAACTAGATTCAATCTTTTATAAGTTAGAATGATTAAATGAGTTATTGAAGCAAAAAAGTTTTAAATAAGAAAATGTAAAATTAGAATAGACGGAAATGTAAAAGTTACAAGGATATTATGTTGATGAAATTAAAGAATTAAGTAGAAATAAATGTAATAGGGCTTTGAGTAATAATTTCATTTATATTTGAACACCGTATTCAAAATAAATAGTGTTATGGTTTCAATTTTGGTTCAACCGTAGCCTATTTTTCGAAAATTAATAGTTTCGAAACTGGGATACGCTCGTTAATAACTAATCGAATCTGTTAATTGCTTTGAGAATAATTATGTATGCATAATAGTAGAGAAAGTTATTTCGAAGTTTGATACTACGCTGTGTTGACATAATAAATAAAACAAAACTACTAAAAAATCTTATAAAATCTCTTATGTTAGGTCAACTTAATCGATCAAAATATATAATAAAAAGATCTAGCTTTAAATTTAGGTTATATCCGTTCCCATTTTTAATACGCCAACAATTTTAAAAGTGAAATTACACTCGTTGAAACAATTCGAATCTGTTGAGCTATATTAATAGTCGGATAATTTTGCACAGCAAGTCGAATTACCCGAATATTCAAATTGGATTCATTCCAAGTAGACATTCAAATGAAATCAAATAAATTATTAATCCATATAATACATAATTTAGGTTATTACTAAAATTATCGTTAAAAAACAGCAAACAAAGTATTGTAGAAACATATCATCAATATTTAACCATTTTATAGAAGTTTATCAATACACTATTTTAACGTAATAAATACAAACGCTACTAAAGAATACATTTTCTAGGAATCTTTTTAAATTATTTCAATTATTAATTGTTAATGAAATTTAGATTCAAAAATTTACATCTTAATTCAAAATTAATGGAGTTAAAAATCTGAATAGAGTCACATCTCATCAATATTAACCCTTTACACTCGAGGTTATATTTTTCATTTCATATATTCATGTCATAACAACTGACAAAATAATTTCAATAGAAAAAAAAAATCATATTCACGTATTATAAATAAATGACATATGTGTAATTAAAAGAAAAATCATAGTTGATATGTTGTAGACTGAATTGAATTTTTTTCAGTTTTTATTTCTTTTTTATTGTCTCCGTAGCGGAGCCGTCGAGTGCAAAGGGTTAATCAAAATGTAGAAATTTATCAGTATATGTTAACATAATAAATAAGAACGCTATTAAAGAATGAATTTTATAGGGGGATACTCTTAGATTATCTCAATTGGTTAGAGTACCCCACTCGAAATTCAAATCACAGTCCAGTCTCGATCCCATGATTCATTAGTTTCTACACATTTAAACTATAAAAATGTTGATTTTCTCAGATCTTCAGTTACTCGATAATAACATACATATTATACACTTCATAGTAATCTAGAACCTCGAGAACGATTTTGGACTCTCAAGAAATGAAATTCCGTTGAGTTATAAGAGTATAGTGATTTTTCTCGCGATATCAACTTCTTCTTTTTATTTCCTTTTAGTTGACTCTTCGAAGAGAACGAAAATGAAAATGAAGACGAATACTAGGGAAAAGACTACGACGAGTAGGACTATGTAGAAGTTGAGAGTGGGTGGGGGGTGTGGGGGTGAGGTTTTGAGGAGGTGCACGGTGTATATGTATAACTCGACTGTCTGAAAATAGCACGGGCAAATCCCCTGACTTTTCCCCTTACCCCCTTCTGTGTGACGCCTTTTCGGGTCGCGCTTAGTTACCATCTTTCGAGGAGAACTGGCTCAATCCAGTCGCTTGGAGTAACGCGATAAACGTACGACGACATGTGTAACAATCATTCAATAACTAGTTTGTACGAGAGGTGGGATATCATATATTTCGAGGGATATAATAGGACACCGAGAAATAATATTTTTCCCAAGCTTGGATAATTGAAAGCCGCGGAAAACTGCTTGACCTCAATTCGTCGAAGGCTGACTCTCCTCTCGCATCCGACCTGTTTGTTGGGCTCTGCTTACTTGCGATTAATTTTACAAAAGAAAGAACAATTCTCCTTTTAGGGGAACCATTGAGAAGACTGAATAGGCCATTTTTCTTGTTTTTTTGTTTGTTTGTCATATTCCTATTCTAAATAATTTATCTCCAGGGAATATACGTCCAGTTTAAAAAAGAAAGAAAGAAAGAAAGAAAGAGAAGAGAAGAGAAGAGAAGAGAAGAGAAGAGAAGAAGAAAAATAAAACAAAGTTTTGTGAGAAAAATATCTTATTTTTCTTTTTTGTTTTTTCCTTTTTTTTTCTTTTTGTTACAAAAATATTTAAAAAGAGAACGTTTTGTTCGCGTCTGTGATATTATTTACACACGGCAATCGTCCAGATACACTTCGGGGGCACACATAGTTCGAGTAAAAAATAAAGAAATTCAACTGATCGTACGACTTGAGTTATATTTATGTGCCCGCCAACCGACACACGTCGTTCCAAATTTATATTGTGCTAATTATACGTCGTGTCGTCGCTTTATCAATTTGCTTTGTTGTCGCTTTGGTGGTGGTGGTGGTGGTGATGTGGTGGACGATAGGAAGGAATACAATTTGATGCTTTTTGAAGATTTCACTCAGTAACCGATCATATGATTAGATGTTATATTATTGAAAGGCGCTAAATATGCGCAAGCGCCAACAAAATAATTGTTGTCGTCGTGTTGTACTTAGTTGAGCCAATAGCAGCAATCTACCTAACGACGTGTTCTTTACGTCTACTGAAAGAACGAAGAATTTCGTAATAACGAAATAACTGATATACAACAAACAGTTCCCGAACACAGAGAGAGAGAGAGAGAGAGAGAGAGAGAGAGAGAGAGAAGTAACTGTAATCCCAAAATAGAAATTGGAGAGGCGTAATATAACTTGGAAATTTCCCACTTCCTTATACGAATGGCAGTGTGAGTGGATTCTTTTTTTTTGTTCGTTGTTCAAGAGTAACACCCCAATTTACGAGATCTCAACATCGTAATTGTAAAAGAAAACTATTTCGATCTTACTTCCCTCGTATCTTCCCCGTTAACGCGTGGAAGAAAAGAGGACACCCGTCAAATCCATGAAGAAAAGAACAACATTGAACGTGAAAAGAAGAAATCTTCAAACGGAAATCTTGACAAGCCGAGAAAACCTTTCTTGGCCAATCGCAGTCGTAAGTTATTCAGGAATTGACGATGTCCTGCGGTGGATGACAGCGTGGAAGAGGTTGAAGAAGAGGACGATCGTAGGATGTACGGAGGTGAAAAAGAGAAAGAAGACGATCGAAAACGATCGCAAGATGCTGATGCGAGATGTTCAGAAACAACAGCACCACCACCACCATGGTTGGTCAGAGCAGAAGTTACGATTCGTCATGGCGGTATTCAGACCAATTCGGATTCTGGACAGTCACCGGTACGTGCATCATCAACTGTGACTGATTCTAATGGTGTAAGGATGATATATCGTTGGAATACTAGCCAACCAAATATTAATCCTCCAACAACAACAACAACAACAACAACAACAGCAGTACCTTCGATGACTTCATCGATGGGTACAATTCCACCAAATTCTTATGGGTTTCAACGTGGAAATATATTGTTCACGTCAACACCACCACCTAGAAGTCAACCATCCGGTTCATTTACAATTCCACGTTCAGTATCCTCGATGAAAGATGACTCAAATTTATCAAGAAATCGAGGTTTCAATGATTCCGGATACAACAGTGAACGATTTTCACCACAATCTTATTCAAGTTTGCCATCTCGTCGATCCTCGCAACAATACAATCGACGTTGTAAAAGTACATGTAACATCGTACTAGCTGCGTTTGATCCCAAGAAGAATTTAAGTAACGAAGAGTTTATAACTACGAGATCACAAACGAGAGAACCTTTGAAATTTTCCCCATTGGAAGCTGATCGACCACCTTTGCATTACCATCGAATGGCGTCCCATCATCATCAACAGCATCATCATCATAATCAACAACAACAACACGTCTCTGCTCGTTCACGTTTCAGTACCGTACCTGAAGTCTGTGAAGATTGTGCTGAAGGTAGTACTGCAAGTCCATTTACCACTCATTTCTGTACACGTGTGTTAGAGAAAACAACGAACAAAAGAACAACGACCATTAGTAAAGATGCGTCTTCCCAAACGACGGATATTGAATCTAGATCTTCCTCCTTGACAACATCGAAAACAGGAAAAGTCAGACGAAAGACATTGGATATATACTTGGCCGACGAACAAAAGAGAAAGAAGGTATAACAAAATCGTTAACAATTAAAATTCGAAATATTTAATTCAATTAAGAAACAACAACAACAACAACAAAAGAATCGTATATTTAAAACTTTTTCAGCAAGAGAATTCATCTATCGGAGCTTCGATCGATACAACAACGCAACCTTCAACGACTACAGCAACTACCACGGATACTGAAAAATCCGATGCATCAACCGTAGATGAGAATTCCAAACGTAAATCTCGTACGGTTCACATAGACGTTTATTGCACTGGCTCAGATGAGGAGTGTAGTACAGAGTCAAGCGAGGAAGAACATTCAACCACAGCGATGACCGTCTTCGAGAACAAGGACGTCAAAGTGACGCATACTCAGCAAACTACGGATAACGATTTACCTCGTGGATTTACAGATAATAAGGCGTTTCTCGCGCGAACAGCTGAGAGACGATGTGAAAGTTTCAAAAACGCTCCCATGAGAATGCCCTCGTTGGCTAGCTCGAAAGGTTACGAAAGCGACGATTTACTAAGTTCTCTTTATCCGTCGCAATTTAGTTCTTACAGCGCGCTTAAAGATATTGATTCAACACCATGGTCTGCAGCATCGTCAATGATTGCATTGCCCTTTCCTGACGATTACGATTCTGCAGCTGCTACATCCGCAAAAGATACATTTTCCGACGTAGAATCTATAATCAATGGTGGTAAACCAACGTTGACTTCATGCGATAGTTTCGAATATGCCAATTCGTCCGATCGTGAGAGAATACGTAAAATGGAGACCATTTGGAGTAGTAAAAACGAGTCCGAAGAGAAGGATAAAACTTGGAGATCACCGCAGATCGAGCGTAAGCATTTATTAAGGAACAAGAAGATGAGGGAATATTTAGAGAAGCATGAAATCGGTTGGTCTTCTGATGAAACTGCTGCTGAATCGGATGACAGTGGAACCATAGGTTGGACCTTTATAGCTAATAAGGATCATTCTGAGGAAGCATCTAAAAAAAAGGATATCGTTTCTTCTACGAGTCAAATAAATTCGGAAACTGTTGAAAACATTTCCCCAAATGTCGTACATCATCAAGAATCTAAACGTTGTGATCCTTTAGACGATCATTCCGATTCCACGAGCCGAAGTGAACTTGGCTCACGAACGTATACACTTCGCGATCAGATTGGACTGTTTAGTTCGAAAAGTCCTTCACCTCTTCCTTCGAAAGTACCTTCAAGGGTGACCTCTCCCTTTATGACACCCCAAGGTGAAAGAACGGATCATATCGTGAAAGCATCGATTTTTGGTTCTGTAATTGGTGCTTTTAGAAAACCTGGTCATCACATAGGTCCTGCTAAAAATCCAAACTGCTCTTGCGAACACTGCAGACGATACTTCGAAGAAGATAATACTCGTGAACGATCGTGTTCCTTCGGTGAACCGGACAAACGCTCTGCTCGTTCAACCAACATCCAAAAAAATATTATTCAACCAGCTCCTACAAGTTATGGACACTGATATTTCGTTTATTTTCCCGTAATTTTATTTTTTTTTTTTAATTTCAAGCAAAGCTTCTTCGAATGATTCTCATTCTTCGAGCTATTCATAGCTTTACAATGCTATGACTTTTGTGCACGCTTATTATTAATATTACTATAACTATTATTTTTATTATTATTATTATTATTATTATTATTATTATTATTATTATTATTATTATTATTATTATTAATAGATTTATTAATGAATTCATAATTATATGTATGCCTCGTCTAATTACAATTGAAAATATTAAATGTGTGTTCCAAGTGCGTCAGAACGAGGACATAATAATTTTCTATTATCTTCTTATTTGCTATTGTATCGTTAAAGGCTGTCGAACATTCTGCTGATTATGAAGCATTTACATAATTTAACAATCGTGTAACGTCGATCGTTTTATTAATAAATGTTAATTATTGTTGTCGATCGTTATCGAATATTGTTTCTATATGCGTATGTATTTTTCACACAAATCATTTTCTGTCTTTTTTTTTTCTTATTTCTTATTTTATATCATCTTCCTTGCATTGTCTTTCTTTCTTTCTTTTTTTCTCTCTATCAACAGTTTATTTCTTTGATTAAAAGATAAAATCGATTAAATAATATCAACTGTGTGTGTGTGTTCGGATTATCTTAGGCTCAGGCAAGTCTCGCGGAATCCAGTAGAAAATTGGACTTACTTAGATTATCTCTTGAGCTTAGAAGACAAGAATTACCTTCAGACAGTGGTACCGCTGCCCAATTAAAGAGAGAACTAGCCAGTGTACAGTCGGCAAGTCCTGTTCCTGTTACTTACACATCCTTACAACCATTTCGTGGCCCATTAGAAGGCAGGGCTACAGTACCTGCATCTGTTTCTAGATGTGCTGCAGTCACTGGCCAATTGGAGGTAAACACTAACGTTATTTACAAAATTATTTAATTTATAGTTATTCATTAGGAGGTTTATAATTTATTTTAAAATATATCAATAATTATAACAATGGATAAAATGTACCTGATAAAATATAACAATAGTGTTAAAAAGTTGAATTAATTCTTCATTTTATGATTAATTTTATAAAAATAATAATTTCAATTATATTAACAAATCTTTATGCTTATTTTTAGGTAAGATTAATGGGATGCCAAGGTTTAGCGGAAGAAGTTCCTGGACGTACGAGAAGAGAACACCCTGCCAGTCCTGATTTACGTAGCTTTGTTAAAGGTGTAACAGGACGTAGTTCAAGTAAATCTTATAGCGTTAAAGACGAGACGAGTAGTAAGTTAAAATTCATTTTTTATTTTACTTATACAATCGTTTGATATCTAATTGATTGTTATTAATACTCTTTATATGAATTTCAGATGATATTATGGCGGTTATAAAACTTGATAATCAAACCGTAGCACAAACTAGTTGGAGACCGTGTTCCCAGCAGGCTTGGGACCAAAGGTATATTATTATATATTGTTATATAATCATCTTAACTCTTTGAAGCATGTTAGAGTTAATTGTGACCTCCTTTTTTAATACCTAAATATGCATAGTAGAATATTTTTTTATACTACCTTGAGAAAATTAAAATTACTTGAAACACAACGGTTTGCAACAGCATGGAGAGACTATTTATGTAACTCTCTATTATTAAATACTTAAATAACTTTTCTTATTTTATTTTTATTCATTTTATGTAATAAAAATTCCTTAGTAATTATAAGAATAAAATTTCAGATTTTTTTTATTTTTTGCAATTTCGTGCTTCTAAAAGTTAAGTAACGTATTATTAACTGGATCACAAATCAAATTATTAAAATATAAAGTTATACAATGTTATATTTTTATTTTTTATGGTAAAATTTGAATATTATCACTTTTGTATTTTTTTTTATAATTTTTATAATTTGTATTTTTTTAATTCAATTATTAATATATAAAATATTAAATTCTGTATTTGTTTATAGATTTTCTATCGAACTAGATAAGTCAAGGGAACTCGAAATAGGCATTTATTGGAAAGATTGGAGATCATTATGCGCAGTGAAATTTTTACGTTTAGAAGAATTTATTGACGATGTGAGACACGGAATGGCATTACAATTGGAACCTCAAGGATTATTATTTGCTGAAATTAAATTCTTAAATCCAATGATATCAAGGAAGCCTAAATTGCAACGTCAACGTAAAATATTTAAACAACAAGTTAAAAACTTCCCACGGGCTAATCAAATGAACATCAATGTTGCCACCTGGGGTAGACTTCTTAAACGTTCTGCACCATCTTTGCATAATACAAGAAATTCTGAAAGTCCATCATCAGGTATGTATTCATCATTTCTAATAATGATAATAGCATATAGGTCCTTATGGTAAAAGCAAAGAATCAGAATTGATCATTTTAGGACCACAACCATTACAAATTGTTTTTGATACCTCAATAGAAGATAAGCCTGAAACACCTGGAGAATTACCGGATCCTGAAAAAGGTGGCTTAGGTGGTGCTCGACCATTAGGAATGGCAACTTCAACTAGTAGTCCAGTTTTACCACGTCCACCTGAACATCCACCTCCACCACCACCAACGGTTACTAAAAAACCTTCTCTGCCAGCACCACCACCACCACCAAAATTAGATCAGGAGGTGAATTATAATTAATTTAAATATATATTTATTTTTTATTTATTTATTATATTTATTATATACATAGAATTTTATAATTTCTATAGAAGAGGCAGTAGATTATTGGTTTGGGATATTGGTTATGGGTTTGGATTTCTATACAAAAGAAGTATAATAGGATTATTTGATTTTAATTTAATAATAGTTTAATATATTTGTGTATAAGGGCACATATTTTTGAACCAAGCATGCTCTTATTTAAATGCCCTTTTTATTGTGTCAAATTTATTGATACAAAATAATTATATTATTTATTATATCGTGATAATTTATAATTGTATTTTTATGTAATATCTGATTATTTTATTTTGTTTTTTTTCGTGATATTGCTTTGTGTAAAGTCATAAAAAACAGTCAATCGTTAATTATTTTTGTTTTGTTTAAATACAGTGAAACATATCATTTGATTTATTTTTAACAAAATAATGTGTTACGTCTGCCAAAAATGATCATTTCTGAAGCTTAAAAAATTTTCAAATTTTACGTATATATATATATAGGTATATCACGTCATTATATTGTGTTCATAGATATATATTCATTATAATGTAGTTATCTCTTTGATTTAAAAGCACATCGCAATATTTGAAATAGGCTTTTAGAGCTAAGCAGGTAGTAATGTAGTTACAGAGTGCATTAAGGGAGTTTGATTTCCTGCACAACGAGGAGAAAGGGGGCTGTCAGGGTGCAAATTTGAGGCCCCTTGTGACAGAGCCCCGTCCTGTGCTGATTGCACCACCCTCTCCACGCACACCCTCGCCCCAACCCGTGGTCGAGTTTCCTGAAGATGAGGTATATACCTCTAGTATGAAACATTACTTTATATTATCTAAAACTTTAATATTTTCATATTAATATTATCATTTTCATCTATATTAATTGATTTACCTTTTCATATTAAAATCATGTAATAACGATTTTTTAAACGAGAAAAATGATCTTTCAAAGTATCTTTTTAAATCGTTGCAATACTAACGATGATTTTATAACAAACATTCCTTTTACTTCGTTTATTGTATAAACGTGTTATCGTACACGAATATCATAATTAAAAAAAAAAAAATAAAACAACAAAATCATTTAATTCGACATCCAATAATAATCCCCTACGCCTGCTCACAAATATCTACTTTTAATTATTGCATGATTATTTTGCATGCTCAATTAACAATATTTATTATTTCTTTTTGTAACCTATCCATTTCTTATTTTCATTATATTATCATCACATCAAATTATAATATAATCAAGGTTTATTTCGCCAGTGTCTGACTTTTGTGATATGAGAATGTTATGTATGTATGTATGTATGTATACATTATCGTTAAGTTTTTTGTAGACGACATTGCATATTATGTAGTATAGCTTAACATGCTTAACTTTGCCATATTTGACGTATTTATCATATTTTTTATATATTTCGGATTCATTATTTAAAATGACTATGTAAATAATGTACATGTTATATCTAATGACATAACAATCGCATCGATGACATTGATGACACTTGATAAGTTGTTTCATTACTCTTAAAAATTGACTGTTAACTCTCATTAATTTAATGTTATAAATAATAGAAGAGATAAAGATTATTTTTAATGAAAACTTCATTAAAATTTATGCGATTACAGGTTGTGTATGAACTACCAGTCAGGCCTTTGCAATATAGAGATAGCGCGTATGAATCTAGAAGACATTCTCAACTTACTGGCATGACTTTAGACAACTTCAGGTTACTCTCTGTTCTTGGTCGAGGTCATTTTGGAAAAGTTATTTTGTCACAATACAGAAATACAGGAGAATATTTTGCCATTAAGGCATTGAAGAAAGGTGATATTATAGCGAGAGACGAAGTTGAATCACTGCTTTCCGAAAAGAGAATATTTGAAGTTGCTAATGCTACGCGTCATCCATTCCTGGTGAATTTGTTCGCTTGTTTCCAAACCGAAGTATGAACTTCTTTTTTCTTTAATATTATCTCATATCCTATAATTGTGGAATTTAAATAATCATTTATATTTTATATATATAGGCACACGTTTGTTTCGTAATGGAATATGCAGCTGGTGGTGATCTTATGATGCATATACATGCAGACGTTTTTGGTGAACCACGCGCTGTATTTTATTCTGCTTGCGTTGTCTTAGGATTGCAATATTTACATGAAAGTCGAATTATATATAGGTAAATTAACAAAACAATATCATCTTATTATTATTGTAATAGCATATATATAGATGGTTTATGGTATTAAATGAATCTTATTTTCAGAGATTTGAAATTAGATAATTTGTTATTGGATACGGAAGGATATGTGAAAATAGCAGATTTTGGACTTTGTAAAGAAGGTATGGGTTACGGCGACCGAACTGGGACTTTTTGTGGAACACCAGAATTTTTAGCACCAGAAGTTCTCACCGAGACATCATATACACGAGCTGTAGATTGGTGGGGCCTTGGAGTACTTATATTTGAGATGCTTGTTGGAGAGGTATAAAACTATAAATAGTTTCAAAATTTACACGAAATTTATAATTAATGTTTTATTTTTATATTCTATATTTATTTATATTTAGTCTCCATTCCCCGGTGATGACGAAGAAGAAGTATTTGATTCGATAGTGAATGATGAAGTTCGTTACCCAAGATTCCTTTCTTTGGAAGCTATAGCTATAATGAGAAGGGTAAGATAATTGTTCTTATTATTACAACTTTATAAGATTTTTTTTTATTATTTATAATAAATACTTCTTCAAATTTATTTTATATGTATAATAGTTGCTCAGAAAGAATCCAGACAGAAGATTAGGTAGTAGTGAAAGAGATGCAGAGGATGTTAAAAAGCAAGCATTCTTTAGGCACATAGCATGGGATGATTTATTATTAAGACGCGTGAAACCACCTTTCGTACCAGTTATTGTAAGTGATTTTTTGCGCATGTTTTCATACGATATACAGTGTGTTTCTAATATATAAGACGCACCAGGAATCTTATATTAATTATTAAAATATATATTTATTGTTTACAGCATTCTGTGGAAGACGTTAGTAATTTTGACGAAGAATTTACATCAGAAAAGCCACAGCTCACTCCGCCTAAGGATCCCAGACCTCTCAGCGACATGGAACAAAGCTTCTTTAAAGATTTCACATACATGGCTGATTGGTGCTAACTATAGTAATATGGAATTTTATGTTCTTCCAATAATAGTTCATCATTTTATTTGTGTCCTATAATTTAGATTAAACTATGTTAAATTACATCAAAAAACATAGAGGAAAAAAATGAAAATTCTTATGGAAAGAAGATTGATGGATGGCATTGTGCTTTATACAATAATTATTATTATTTTTAATAGAAATCAAAACTTCTGTAAACTTATGATTTACCATTGAATCTCGGATTTTCATCTGAATTATGTGTAATAGAAGAGAGAAATTTTATTTTAGTGCCAGGCATATTACATGTATGGCTATATTATTTCTATTTCGTTTGCGTCACGTAAGTTATTAAAATGTAATCAATTATTTTGAAAACCAATATTTGAACAACAACAAAATGATAGGATTCGTAATAACACCTGTATTACATGTATATGTTAGTAAAAACATATATGTCTAAAAAAGGAAATACGAAAAGAAAAAAGAATGCAAACATAAATAACATAAATAACATAAAAATAAGTAACTTCTAAATTACTATCGTCAACTATGATATACATATATTATATATATATATAATGCGAAATCGAGCGATCAAGTGAACGAGAGAGAGAGAGAGAGAGAGAGAAAGAAAGAGAGACAGAGAGAAAAGGAGAGCAAGAGAGTGAGAGATGTAGATAAATACTATCGAGACAAGGATCACATTTATTTGCATGTGCATTTTTAAATATTAAACAAAACTTTCCCACTAAGTGCATGAAGAATATAAGAAAAAATATTTTACATATAAAATTATATAAGTATACTGTACAACAGACACGTTTAAGCACTGATCATGTACGATGATCACATTAGAATTACATTGCACACATTTTTGAAAGTAAGGCACGTCATTTAATCACACTCAGACACTACATAATTTGTTTTGTATCTTTATTATTATTATTATTATTATTATTATTATTATTATTATTATTTTTAGTATAATATTTTTATTTTTTATTTTTTTACAAATGGCTATTAACTTTAAGTCGTGGCACCAATCATGATATATTTATATTTAACAAAAAAATTTCTTATATACAATTATTCGCGCTAATACGATATTAATTGGAAATGATTTAATAAGCATAATATAAATTTATTGATTGTAATTAAACAATCGATACTTCAAATACTAAAATAATGTAGTATCTAACGTGGCTTACTATCTTATCGATAGAGAGATGAATTTTAATTTCTTTTTTTCCTGTTTATTTACGATAAAATTAACAGCATAATTTAACGGTAAATATTACTTGTGTCTGAAAAAAAGAAAAGGAAAAAAATAAAAATAAATAAATGTCACGTGTGTATTGTTTTATATAACCGTATGCTCTATTCGTTCACAATTTATTTTATTTTAGCTGCATATAATCATGTTTAAGCACATGATAATGTATACATCTATGTTATATATTTTACAAAGAAGTATGATTCTTTATTAGACCATGAAATTAAAATTTTTCATATATTAAACAAAAAAATAAAGAAAAATTAAAAAAAAAAATAAAAAAAAAAAGAAGAAAAAATAATTTCAAGTCTAATTTCTAGTATGTACATCTTCGAATTATTGTTAATCTTTATTTTTAAATTTCAATTCTTTATACTTTTCGATAATGATAATATTAATAATAATAATAATAACAACAACAACAACAATAATAATAATAATAATAATAATAATTGAGAGATAAGTGTATTACATTTTAATTTTTTGGGAAGTAATTCGTGCATTATTTTAAATATTTTTATATAACTTGTATCAACTCGTATGTCATATATTAAATAATTTTTATGGTGTATATATATATACACATATATCGTCATTACATTTATTTCACAAACTAATTTAACATACGAATAATCTGCCATTCGTCCATGGCATTTGAGAATTAATATTAAATGATATATACTCCTTAAATTTTTCATACGAAACAGTATATATATATATATATATATTTGTTGTTTTATTATTGTATACTATGTTTTCTCAATACGTTGCGGTAATATTAACTCTCCTTACTATAAGTTCATTTTCGATTTACGTTAAATTTTATTTTTTTATACGCCTTCGATAAAAGGTATATTAGAATTGGACTTGACAAATCTAATATGCATTTTCTTTTCTATTCGCATGAAATTGTTTGAACGAAATTTAAATATTAACATTGCGATATGTTTATTAAAATCATCTTGTTTTTTTTTCACAATGTTTAAACATATATATATATATATTAAATGAAGATTAATGTATATCATTATTATTATTTTATACGAAACACGATTTTATTATATAGAATTCTGTGATATACTTCAAGATTAAACATACTTACTTTGAAACATTCTCACAGTGTAAATTTCGACATTAAAAAAACTGATTTTGTAATTATGATTTTTATAAAACAACAATAACAATAGCAAAAAAAGAAAACAAAACTATAAAAATTATATTGGAAAAATTTATAGCGTTATATAAAAAAGGAAATAATAATAACCGAATGACATGTGATAGTTTCGAGTTAAATCTCGAATTTTAGATGCCTTACTGCTCTAATAAAGTAATAACTTGGTATCTATTTTATAAAGAAGTCTTGTAAATTATAATTGAACCCTGTTTGTAAGAAGGTGCTCATATACAAGGTGTTTCTAATGTGTGGATAAAGAACACAAAAATAATAAGAATAATTCATGTAAATATGTGTTTCCTATTTAATTTTGTTTCAAAGTAATAATAGATACTTTTGTGTTCCAATAATCCTTGTTGACAATTTATCTTCATAGAAAGTGCTCGAAATGATCATCTTTGGTTTGTATCCAAACTTTTTGTAATTGCCATTGTATCATTGAATTTTGCGGTTTTTCAAAACTTTCAGATATACGTCGAATCCATTGACAATCTTTTTTATCACATACATGTTTAAAATTCTTCAATGCTGGCAGTTTATATTAAATACACAATTATTTTCAAATGACACCAGAAATAAAAATCTAATGACGTATTTGAAACTCTTTAATAAATAGAGCAAATGGAATAACTTTGAATTAAGGTCAAATAGGACACATTTTTAAATGAACTTTTTCCATCGATTTTGTATTCCTTGTTCATTTTTGAAGTTCACTTCACAAATTTCGTAATAACGAAACACCCTGTATATTAAAACTGCGTGCTGTTGTATTATTCCAAGAAAAAGAATTATTACAATCTAGCGTAGTAACATTTGTAACACCCAGCGGAACCAAATTTCACGCATAATCAATAATATTATAGAAAAATATTATTTCTAATTAGAAGCATTTTATTATAATAATAAAAAAGTAAGTATATAAAATAAAAAAGTAGTGAGAAAGATCATCACAAGGTTTCTAATATATAAGTGCCATGAGCCTAACGCATACTGATATAACAATACGATCAGAATAATATAAATACATTTTGTGTGTGAAATGAGAGATAAAAAAAGAAATTATTAAAAAAGAAAATGTAATTCATCGTACTCTATCTCATATACGTAAATATTACACACAGATATATTTTACTTTACAGATTTCGACTACCAAAGTAAATAAATTTTATCACGATAAATTGTTCGCATAATAAAAATAATAAGATCTTCTTTTTTTCATTTATACTTTGATTTACAATCAACATATATATATGAAACATTAATTAAAATGTATTATGAACGTTAAAAGAATATTTCAATTTTTTTATATTTTTTAAGGGTATACAAAGAACAAATGATTATTTTCACAAATATTGTTTGGAAGGTGTACATAATACATTTACATGTTACAGCCATGTAAATAAATTTTAATTAACGAATGAAATATTTTCAATAGCACATATGAATTCGGGGTACTTATTTATATATATAAGTACATAAATAGTGCTACTAAGATATAAAGTAATAATTTTTTTTATTAATACGTTTGCTATGACTTACGATAATGTGTTATAACAAATAAAAATGTAGTATGTGCCTCGTATTTTGTAGAATTTAGAATGTCTTAAAGAACTATTATCTCATAAAATAAGATATATACACGTATAAAGATTTCTAAACATTTATTTATTTGATACATATATTTACAGTGGCAGCTTACTACATATCACCATTAATAAATTACATAATTCTTAGTGATATTCTCTTTAAATTTATGATCATATATATATAAACATTACACGATTCAAGAATAAATTTTTGAATAATGTATATTTTGTGTTGTTTATTTAATATTTCATTTCTAATCAATGACTAATCTCGCCTCATTGAAAAAACAAAAAAACTAGTTCCCATTGGAAGTTAACGATTAGTATGGGATTAGTATTTAAATAAACGACTGCTTTGGAGTACTGTATGTGAAGATACCTTCAAAACCATAAAAAGGAAAGTAATAAAAAAAATATATATCTCACTTATATTTTAATACAAATTAAAAAGAAATGGATCTATCACAGATAGATGATATTAATAGCGTACGCATTAAAAAAGTATCGTTCAATTAAGTCGTTGAATAATTTTTGTCATATTCTAAACTTCATTTAAATCAACATAATTCTGTAAAAAAATTTATTTATTTAATAAATTGTTTATTATTATTGCCATCAATTTGTCTTCATCTTTATTGATTTCCAATGGAAAGTTTTTTTACTTTTTCGATGCAAAAAATCAGTCACTACATTGAAAAGAAATATGACACAAATTATGGAAGATTACATATTTATATTTAACTCTTTTAAAATGATTACATTGTTCGCGAATATGTTTTCACTGTATAGATATTTGCATTACGAATAAGGTAATACTATTATACGAGTCAATCATAACGAGAATGTACATTTTATTACAAAGTAGATAAAAGATGGGATATTATAATGTGATACATTCTAAGATAATCAGATTTTTTAAATTATAAACCGAAGCAAAATATCAATGACGTTGGATGACTATGGTCAAGGTTAGTAAATAGTAACCATAGGATATTAGGTGACTATAATTACTATTAGTACGTAGTAAGAACATGGATAACACATTGGATGACTGTAATCACCATTAATACACGGTGAGCATACAATGTTGAGTGTGACTATATTCACTGGTGATACGTCATGAGTTTTAAACATTGACTAATTATAATCACTAGTACTATAGAAAAGTTTAAACATATATGTATATATATTACAATATAGAGTATTTCAAATTATATTTTTACTACAGATGAAGTTTCATCAATCGATTCATCTTTTTCAATATTGCTATTATCTGTCGTTTGAGGATCGGTGTTTTTATTTTCTGCATTTATAGATTTTGCTAATTCGTATAAATTAGTTGTATTTTTCTTAATATTTTTTTCTAAAGCTATTTTTTTCTCCTCTTTTTCTCTCAATAGTTTTCTCATTGCTGGAGATATCGGTTTTACAAGACCAGTACTAACACTATAAAAGACGCTAGTACTGTCCGTAGATCTAAATACAAATGTTATTCTGAAATCATATAATTTTGTTATTCGATACAAAATTAGATTTATCTTATCATTGAAATAGAAATTTATAATTTTCAATGAACATATAAAAAAAGTATATGTAAAAGAATTTCTATTTTTACCGTTCTGTTTCTAATTTCTGCTGTATTTTTTCAATTAGATCTATGGTTAATGAACATGATATGGCCCATGGTACATAAATTTCAAGATTTGAATTTTTAGTTCTCTTAGTTTCTAAATAAATTAAATCTAAATCCTGATTATATTTATAATCCACGTGCCAGAATCTTTTAGCTATAAAAATATATTCTGAATAGCATTAAAACATTTTATGAAATTAATAATCATATATTAATTCTTACCTTCGCATAATTGCATGTACACATAAAATGCATTTGAAATTTTTTTAGGATCAACGCAACCTAATTTTTCTATATAATAATACTAAAAACAAAATTTAATATTAAGTATTTATGTAAAAATATATTTAATTACACATTACGAATTAATTTATTAAATTAATTTGCAAACTTACACTAGGATGAATTAAATCTTGCATATTTAACAATATTTTTTATATATTATTCCAAAGAGATAATATATATGTATATGCTATATTATTTTGCTTTTATTATTTTGAGGTTATTAACATGTCAATAAACACAAATTATTTGATAAATTAAATAATTTTAACAATAAGTAAAAAATTGTTATATTGTATTAATATCCAAGTAAAAATAATGTGATTGATTAAATATGTATTAGTGTTTCTTTGTTATTATTTATTATTCAAACTTTGGAAGTTCAATAATAGTTTACATTTCAAATAGTACACATTCAACTAAAAATACTAAGAAAACGCAGATTCCTATATTAACGACTAAGATTATTTATGTATGTATTCACAGCTAATATAGTAGAACATTAGAAGTGCACTTTTCATGTAAAAAATTCATCTTAGTTAGTACTTTAAGGTAGGGATCCTATAGGAGGGATGAGTCATGTACATTGCTGGGGGACCGGAACTCGATTTTGCGCGCGAATGATTCAAACATTAAAATAATTATGAAATAATGAATTGCATCAAATACAGAAAAAAAAGAACTATATTTAATGATAATTAAAAATTTATATTAAAATAGAATAGGTTACATGAAAAAATTATTATAAATTCAAGCGGTCCCCCAAAATTTTCAGCCAATGGCACATGAGCTGAATATGAATGGCGCATCCCTCCTACAGGATCCCTACTTTAAGGGTCCCTACTTTAACCCGATGACAGTACAATACTATCAAAGAATACATTATTCTATCTACATATTATCGCATACTGGTGGTCTCGGTGTTAACTAACAAGGAGTGGCCGTGATCGTTCTCTCTTTGATTTTTTTGAAATTTGGCACACGTGTAGTTACCTGTAAAAAGATTCATTATGCCTTTAAACTAGCCGCAGATGGCCAGCTGTTCGCGAATAATCGCTAATTAAAATTGTACATAAATATGTATTCATTTAGCTGAATAGTGTAATTTCCTACAATAGCGGCGATGTATGTGTCTCAAAATGCGTCGATATTATGATCTTTTCGAATGTTGAACGAGAATTAAGTTTCTTTATTTCTTCGAAGATATTTATTTGTTTTTCTTTTTTCAATTTTCTTCTCATTCTTTTTTTTTCATTATTGTAAAGTAAGCATTTAAGGTAGTTCGAGCGTTAGGTAACGTACCTAGTGAAGGGCCCCAAGGGGGCTTTAATTTTTATTCAATTAATATTTAAATTTATGGTTTAATTTTTATTTAGAGATATATAATTGACTTTTAAATGAAAATATTCATACATAAATAAACTTAAAAATACAAAAATTGGTAAAATCCATATATATGTTACGACCCTGGTATCGGAAATCTGGAAACATCGCAATATAAAACATACTAATATGTTTGTATTTTAATTTTAACTGTTTTCAATTCACCGCTATTTTTCTTACATTTCAAAGTGCGATGTTGTCAGATCTTCAACGCATGCGCCAACGACGTTCCTCAACGCGTAAATACCTCGTTTTTCAATGATTTTTCTCTTTTTGTTTATAAATTAGCCTGGCTACCTGTCATCATTTTAAAACAATGAAATTTTAATTAAAAAATTGTATAACTTCACCTTCATTTGTAAAAATCTGTCTTTTTAGAAAAAAGCTATCATGTATTATGTATGCTGCGTCCATAAGAACTCACGTTAAAAGTTCAATTTTTTATTTTTATTTTTTTTAAATTTACCTGGTAACAGTATTTTTTTTTGTCCCAGCTTCAAAACAGTTATATTGAGAATATATTATGAAAATTTCAAGACAATCTATCTTTTTATAAATATGCGCTCGAACTACCTTAAAACTAAAAGAATTTTATTTCGAATTTTTATTCACACTCAGAGTAACTATGACTTCAAATGCTAAAACTCATAGATTCTAACGAAATCCCTCTATTGGAGGTTCAATTGTTTAGGATCTCAGCAAACTGTTAAGTTATCATCACTGTGTGAGTATTTATTTTAGTATTATAGGAGATCAAAAAACAACATATACAACAGCGCAACGCGCAGGTCACCCATCCACTTATTGAACGTGACCAAAACCTGCTTAAACTTTGATGATCGGACGGAAACAAACAACTTAACGTAACCAAACTCTTGATCAATGTAAAGTTAGCATATGTTAATACATTATTGACCGGTCACGAGTTAACCCGTGATACACTTTTTTTCGCATCACGCTATTTAAAAGGAAAACGCAGCAAAAATAAATATCAAAATAGTAAAAGCTGTTTTGTACTATTGTTATACTGTTTATCATACGAAAACGAACTATTCGAAGTCTAGATTTATTAAAAGAGATTTATTAAAAATTACGGTACTTACGTATTAACGCCACCGCAGCAAAATTCTGCTAATGCGCCAATCTACACCTTAAATTGTTGCGACAAATCATAGAATAAAAAACTTTATTTAAAATTAAAACACTCAAAATTCAAAACATTTTATTTATAAAAAGTAGTCAATCGGATTTCGGTGGAAAATGGGCCGATATAGAATTTAAGGGGTTATATACAGTTAGACGGCCGAAAAAAAGTGAATTTTCCAGAATTTTTTCTGAGAAACCTTTTAAATTTATTGATCCAAAAATTTATACACATATTATGGTATCTTTTAACTGTATTTTAAGACTTAGTACTAGTAAAAATATTTATTTGAAAAAGAGCTACAGCTGATCTCCAAAAAAGACGTTTTGCGGTGACCACTATATCTCGGAACTGGATCATCTGAAATTAAAAAACCAAACAGATTTCGTTAAAATAATGTTAAATCTAGTAATTAATCGAAGGAATAAGCAAACTACAATTTTTTGACAAAATGGCGGTTTCTTAAAAAAAAAATCGATTCTTCACCGAAATTTCGGCATTAAATTGTTTATAAAAAAAAAAAATATCTATCGGAGAGAAAAAATCTTCGATTAATTACTAAAAAATATATTTAAGAAGATCGTGTTAAAATTTGAGACTAATCGGTTTAGCCGTTTTCGAGTAATGTTGGTCACCGACTTTGATAACACCATTTTGAGAAAAACGCGTTTAAAGTTTGTATCTTGTACTTCCAAGCACTCTGAAACGCCTTTTCAAATTACCTTGTAACTTTGAAAATATTCACCGGAACGATATGAAATTTTCTGTGTGTATTCTTAAATATATGTACATTAAGAAAATAAAATTAAAAAAAAATCGATTTTTTGAAAATTCTAACTGTATATAACCCCTTAACATAGATTCAAAACAGTCTCTATTTTCTTTCACCTGTTGCTGTCGCCATAACCCTGACGAAACCCTGTCGAAACTCTGAAGAAACCCTGACGCAACCCTTTTTTTTTGTTTCGTCAGGAGGAAAAACCTTCGAAAGGCTCCTTGGGCCTGTTACCCAGGGAAGTGTCGGATTCGACCTGCACGTCGCCTATAGACTAAAAAACTTCCCAATTGTAGTTACTAACCGCGGGGTGTGGGCCCCATGGCGCAACGAACGCGTTATTTCTCACACCATGCACATCTCGTGCTCACTCTACCGATGAGGGTGAAGCAGCGCACCGGACTCAGTCAGGCGCCGCCCAGGCTACCCGAAGCCTTGCTCGCGGCGGCTGCACTGGAGCTATTCTTCTGTGCGGCCTCGCACGCACACGTCCGTCCGCAAACACACGCGCACGAACCCCTTCAGACATACCGCTTCTCTTTCGTACTCTTTCCTCGTCTTCTTTCCTTCTCATAAAAAGTCCTGAGAAGGACTGGAATGCGGCCCACCTCCCCGGGGTATCCAGGGAGGTCCTGACTACCTCAGGGAGAGTGGGTCGCACCCCACCTATCGCCGACACCAGATCGCTTCTGGCATCTGCCCACGCCGTTCAATCGACCAGCGTGTGCTCCGCATCGTCAATCAACGCCCCGCAGTGAAAACATCGCAGGGATTGCCTTTTCCCTATCTTATATACGTACGCGGAGAAGCAGTCATGGCCGGTTATCAACTGAGTGGCGTGAAAGGTCGACTCAATAGAATGCGGCCTCCCAATCCACTCAGTCAACCTACCGACCAAAGCACCCCTCACACGTACCTCCGTCGCATCCGGGGAGTCAACCAAAGCTAATTCCTCCTCCTTTCACGCGGTAATGGCCCCCCGCCTGACAAGAATCACAAGCCTGGCCTTAGTGCTCAGAGGGTCAGGTCCCTCCACACCTCTAAGGGTAGCATAAGCCTCCGCCAGTCAAGGAGCCAGATCATCGAGGGGAATAATTCCCGCAATCATCATTGTCGCGTGGAAAGAGGCCGTCCTGTAGGCGCAACACACCCTAATCGCCACCCTACGCTGCAAGGCCCGGACAGCCTCCCTGATCCTCATGTCCTCTACGACAGCGCGCCACCACACTAGAGCCCCATAGAGGAGCATCGAGTGGACCACGCTGCCGTAGAGGCGCCGCTTCCTTTTCCTAGGTCCGTGGAGACTCGGAAGGATTCTCCCAATGGACCTAAGGACACCCTTCACCTTAGGGATCAAGGTCTCGAAGTGGGGCCTGAAAGTCAAGCCCAAGTCCAACACAACCCTCAGGTATTTTACCCTAGTTCCTATGCATATAGAAGACCCCCTAAGTCTGATCTTAGGGGGAGTGACATTCCTGCGTCCGCGGAGGGCAGAGTCAGGGAAGGCCATGGCCTCCGTCTTATGCGGCGCCACTTCGAGGCCCAGTCCCTTAATCGCATCTACAATGACCTCGAGGTCACGTTAAGCATTCAAAACCGCCTGCGACAGGTCCCGCCCCGCTGACAAGAGGGCCGTATCGTCTGCATAGCAGACACCACGGGAACCATCTATCAACGGGACACGGAGGACACTGTCATAGGCCACATTCCACAACGTGGGGCCGAGGACAGATCCCTGTAGCACACCACAGCGCACGACCCTACTCGCGAGCTCCCCGTCCCTAGTGCTATACACTAACTTGCGATTGTGGAAATAGTCGCACAAAATGTTCAACATATGTGGCGGAAGACCTTTGTGTTCCAAGGCCCCCACAATAACTCTCTTTCCAGCTGGCCGGAAAC